GCTGATGGGTCGACCTCACTCTCTCGCCAACTGCCAGCAACAGGCCACCACCCAGTTGATCGGTCACGTGAGGTGGGATGAGCGCAACACAACTACTACCAACATCATTAACGTCGAAATCGAAACAGCAAAAAATAAGAACACATAGGGTGCTAAAAAAAGAGAAACTGCTTCACTTACACCAAATTCAGAGTTCCACAAAATTTGTCCTCCCACAGGGCTGCTTCCATGTAGGAGGGTAGATGTGGCACGTAGAAGGTGGCATTAAGATCGAGGGCATAGGTGGTAAAGATGAGACGGCGCAGTTGGTAGGCTGGCGGTGGGCGCAACGACTCCGCAAAGGGCAATGACCTTTCAGAATTTGCCTGCCCCTGCTGATCGTTGTGGGGGTACTGTGGTGGTGCTGTGTTCGTTATAGGGACAGCCGCAAGGGAGCGGGTGCCAGGAACCGGTGCCAGAGGCGTGCCTGACTGTTGCTCCATCAGCGGTGGGCTGTAGACCGTGAAGAGGTCGACCAAGGGAGAAGATAGCGGCAGGCGCCAAAGGACTGAAAAACCAAAATAATACACAATTCAGAAAAAACAATGGCGATATCAGTGAAACTGTGAGTCCCAGGAAGCAGATGAGATTGCTGGGACAAGACTTTTATTTATTGGTTAAAATAATCAGAAGCTCGGGGAACGCGTAGGCGAACGTACTCTGCAACGGCAATGACAGGGAGCCAGCTGACCGGGAATTCATCACGCAAGCGTCCAACAGGGGTGATGAAATTTCAGCAGATAACGACCCCTCGCTTAGGCTGGTCATCAAACAATTAGCACACAAGCGGGCAACCATCCTCGACAACAGGGAGGCGTTAAGTATTATAGATTTTCTAAAAAAATCCCATTTTTACGATTAAAAAGTCGTCAATACAAGCGAACATGTGAGTCCCAGGAAGTAATGGAGAAAAAGACGACTCGATCGCTGGGATAATACTTTTATTCACCTGACGTTTCGAAATCCGTCGCGGACTCGTCATCAAAGACATAGTCAGAGAGCAATAGCAGATAGGGTAGCACATGCACAGGAGTTTGTAGGATTTATAGGATACAGTAATTACTGCAAACATACAACGACAATCTTGAATGAACAAACGGACCATTCTCTTGCCAGTTTGAAACATTGCGAGTCTCGCCGCCTCCGTATTCAGCGGGGAATTTTTTTAACGAACACTCTTCGGCAATACGTTATTGTCCAGGCACCTGTGCACAAACCGGATCTCCGAATAGGTTGAGGCCGCACGAAGGCTAAATGTTTCCCATCGTCGGGCAGATCGAAACGCATCGCGCCCAAATAAGTTGCCAATACAAGCGAACATCCGCGACGGATATCGAAACGTCAGGCGAATAAAAGTATTGTCCCAGCGATCGAGTAGTCTTTTTCTCGATTTAAAATTGTTTTCGGTCATTCATCTTCAGGCCGATAGGATGACAAGGAGAACAAAACGGTCAGTTTTGTGCAGTGGTTATATGATCCTCGGGGTAGGGGCGGGGGGGTATAATTAGTCCTCGTGGTGTTTCCTCGTCTCATGCATGTTGGTGTGTTTAGGGACGTTGGATTCGGCGCGCAGGGAAGAAGTAAGCAGTAGCCTAGCGACTGTATCCTATAAAAAGCGCAAGCTCGCTGTGTACGAAGTACCCCTTCTCGCTACCGTCTTTGATGATGGGTTCGATGAGGAATCCAAATCCATCAGAAAAATAAAGTCCTCGTCCCAGTTATCGCATCTCCTGTTTCTCAATTCGGAAACGTGTTTCAAATGAGTAGTCTTTTCAGAAACGTATCAATACCGGCCGGCACTCAATTTTGAAGCATACACGAATGGTGTTAATCGGACAAGGC